ATGGGATTATATCAAATTGAGAAGCATTTGTACTGCAAAAGAAACAGGAAAGTGAAGAGGTAACTGACAGAATGGGAGAAATTATTTGCAAACTATGCAACTGATAAAGGTTTAATAATGAGAATATATGAAGAGATCAAGAAACTTCACAGTCCTCTGGTGTACCCAGTAAAGCTGCCACCTCCAGTGCCAGCATCCCATATGGATGCCGGTTCAAGTCCCGGCGGCTTCACTTCCGATCCAGCTCTCTGCCACGGCCTGGAAAAGCAGTAGAAGATGGCCCAAGTCCTTGAGCCCCTGCACCTGCATCCTGGAAGAAGCTCCTGGCTCCTGGCTTCGGATTGGCACCGCTCTGGCCATTGCAGCCAATTGGAGAGTGAACCAGCACATGGAAGACCTCTCTCTTTCTCTCTGCTTCTCTTTCTCTCCCTGTGCAACTCTTTCAAATAAATAAATTTTTTAATTAAAAAAAAATAAGAAACTCCACAACAACAAAGCAAACAACCCAGTGAAGAAATGGGCAAAGGACTTAAACAGACATTTTTCAAAAGAGGAAATCCAAATGGCCAACAGACACAAGAAAAAATGCAGAAGGATCACTAGCCATTAGGGAAATGCAAATCAAAACCACAATGAGGTTTCACCTCACCCCATTAGAATGGCTTTCATACAGAAATCAACAAACAACAAATGCTGTGGAGGATGTGGGAGGAAAAGGTACTCTAATTCCCTGTTGGTAGGAATGTAAACTGGTACAGCCATTGTAGAAGACAGTATGGAGATTCTTAGAAATTTGAATATAGAACTACCATATGACCCAGCCACCCCACTCCTGGGAATTTACCCAAGGGAAATGCAATCAGCATATGAAAAAGTTACCTGCACCCCCTTGTTTATTGCAGCTCAATTCACAATAGCTAAGACATGGAATCAATCCAAATGCCCATCAACCAAAGACTGGATAAACAAATTATGGGATATATACTCCATGGAATACAACACAGTGGTAAAAAAAAAAAAAAAAAAAAGAAGAAGAAGAAAAATCCAGTTGTTTCCAAAAAAATGGATGAATCTGGAAAACATCATACTTAGTGAAATAAGCCAGTCCAGAAAGGACAAATACCGTATGTTCTCCCTAACCTGTGATAACTAATAGAGCACATAAAAGGTAATCTATTGAAGTGAAACTGACACTTCAAGAAGCAATGACTTTGAAAAGCCCTTGTCTCAAATGAAGTGAAACAGTTTTTTAAAAAATATATACTATTTGTTGAACTCTTTATTTAACACAGAGTTAATTATATGTGTATAAAGTTAATTGAAAATAGATCCTAGTAAAAAATAAGAATGGGAATAGGAAAGGGAGGAGGAAGGGGGATGAGAGTGTGGGTGAGAGGGCGGGTATGGTGAGAAGAACCACCATGTTCCTAAAGTTGTAATTATGAAATGTATTAAGTCTGTATGCCTTAAATAAAAGGTTTCTGGGAAAAAAAAATTTTTAAAAAGAGGCTGGCACTTAACACTACCAGAATCAAATTGATTCCAGCAGTTCTTGTTCAAGCAAAACTTCTCAAAGTGTCAAACCCCAAACTCTTTTTTTTTTTTTAAAGACTTATATTATCTAGAGGCAGAGTTACAGAGAGAGAGGAAGAGACAGAGAAAGGTCTTTCATCCGCTGGTTCACTCCCCAGATAGCTGCAAGCTGCCAGAAGCTGGGCCGATCTGAAGCCAGGAACCAGGAGTTTCTTCCGAGTCTCCCACATGGGTGCAGGGACCCAAAGACTTGGGCCATCTTCTACTGCTTTCCCAGGCCATCAGCAGGGAGCCAGATCAGAAGCAGAGCAGCTGGGACAAGAACTGGTGCCAGCACTACAGGTGGAGGCTTAACCTACTATGCCACAATGCCAGCCCCATAACCCGAAACTCTTATTGCTTCCTATTTTATTTCTAAATACCTGGATGAACATCAAAACAGAAGCTGAATTATTACTAGAATATTTAAAAGCTAATGCATGACTCAGAGACATGGTTACTTTGTAATAATAGTTGATTTAATGGTATTTGATAAATGGATTCATTTTAAATCAGACTAAAGATAAATGTAAGTATTCCATAAGAATGGCACAATCTATTAAATGAGGAAATTGTAATAAGCTGTATTAAAAATAAATAAGCTGTATTAAAAATGTGTGTTAACTCATACTTTGTTCCTTCCTTCTCCAAAACAACAGAAGGTGCAGAACATACAAAGTAAAAAGTAAAGATGCAGACAGATAAAGCAAGAGGAAAAATAGACATAGCCACATTGGGCCCAATTGAAGAGGATGCTAAAGAAAGGCACTTAGGGGGCTGGTGTTGTGGTGTAGCAGGTAAAGCTGCCACCTACAATGATGGCATCCCATGTGGATGCCAGTTTATGTTCCAGCGCTCCACTTCCAACCCAGTTCCCTGCTAACGGTCTGAGAAAGCAGAAGAAGATAACGTTTGGGCCAATGCCCCCCTCCAAAGTCGGGGACACAGATGAAGTTCCTGGTTTCTGGCTTCGCACTGGCCCAACCCCTGGCCCTTGCAGCCTTTTGAGGAGTGAACAGATCCAAGATCTTCTCTCTCTTCTCTCTCTTCTCTCTCTCTTCTCTCTCTCTCTCTCTCTCATTCTTATTTTCAAATAAATGAATCTTAGAAAGGAATGAAGAAAGAAAAGCATTGAGGCACAAAGGTTTAAGCTGCCACTTGCAGGGCCAGCATTCCACACCAAAGCCCTGGTTTGAGTCTGTGCTGCTTTGCTTCTGATCCAGCTCCCCGCTAATGCACCTGGGAAGCCCGTAGAAGATGGTCCAAATATAAATGATGTTTGTGAAAAGTTAGCTAGGCTTTTGAAATTTGAGTTGAAACTGAGTTTGACTTGACTTCCTAATGATCTAATTTGGAAATGGTGCATTCTTGAAGTATCTTTGTTGGTTTTCCTTTCTGGTTATTTTAGGTTTCTTAGTTATTAGCTGTAGACGTCATAGTCAATGAACTCAAATGCAGAATAAAACCACTTCCGTTAATGAAGATTTCTATTCCTTTATCCAGAAGATGCTAAAATTTATTTGTACTGTCTTTGGTGCAGAGTAAATGAGTTTATAAAAGAGTGACCTATCATATCTTGGTAGTTGAATCATATTAGCTATTACAGCAGTCTCTGATGAGTAAGTCTTCACTAGACACTTTCGGTTACTATCCTGCATTTCTTCTAAATGAATCTTTCTTTCCAACAGTTTCCATTTTGTCATGTCTGAGTTCTTATCACTACCAAGTCATCGTAGAGCAGGGCTGGCAACCTGATTCGTGGGCTTTTCAGCAGCTTCTGACTCATGCTGTTTGGCTCATAAAGTGAAATGATTAGACACACTCATTTGTATAACATGGACCGTCAGTGTCCTAGAACTCCTGTTTCCCTCTGAGGTTATTTCTGAAACTTTTCCAATGTTTCTTCCTTTTTTCTTTTAAAGATTTACTTAATTATTTGAAAGGCAGAGGGGGGTTGGGGAGACGGGGTGGGGAAGAGGAAGAGAGGGAGAAAAGGAAAGTGGGGGGAGAGGGAGAGAAACCGAAGATATCTTCCGTCTGCTGATTCACTTCCTAAATGGCCAAAATAGCCAGAGCTGGTCCAAGCCAAAACCAGGAACCTGGAGCTTCATCCAGGTTTCCCATGTGGGCACAGGGGCACAAGCACTTGGGCCATGTTCTACTGCTTTCCCAAACGATTAGCAGGGAGCTAGATGGGAAGTGGAGCAGCTGGGTCTTGAACCGGCGCCAATATGGGATGGTTGCATCGATGGTGGAGGCTTAATCTGCTCCGCTACAACACTGGCCCTTATGCAGGTGCTTTTAAACATATCTAGAACCATACTTAGACACAGTAATTTCTCACTGAGTAACACAGAAAAATGCAAAGCACTACCTACTCCTCACACTCCATCCCATCTTGGAGCTCTGCAGTTCCTAACACACATGCTTACTTTGGTTTTCTCCACTGTACACACAGATATTAAAGATTCCCTTTTGCCCATTTTCTGGATATACTTCATGGCAGCAGAACCATTAGGATCCTTTTCATAGCATGTTTCTTGAGCATGAATTATACCATAATCCTAACAAAGGTCAAACGCATCAGTGCTTCTCCAGGGAAGTTCTTCCATGCAGTAATGAGTCATTTTTCCTTAGGAATGAAAGTTTCACTCTGCTGAGTAAATGTCTGAGTCAGCCAACTGTGCCATAACCTTCCCTTTTCTCATTTTTGAATTTTATAAGCCCGTACATACATATTTGATTACAGTGACTGATACAGAACCCTTCTGCTAGAAAAGCACATGCTTACAATTTACCACACATCTGCACGTACAATTTTTAGAATTCCATATTAGTAATAAAGTGTAACTCTACTATAGTGAAACACTTCATACTCATGGAGATCCCCTAGTTTCTTGTTTAGCATATATAGTGAACTTAAACATGTATCAGATAACTCAAATTCAGTGTCATTCACTACAGAGTTGTTTGTACTATCAAAATACAAAAAATCCAAGTATCCTTCAACAGGAGACTAGTTAAGTAAACTGTGGTCATCAACATAGCAGAATATTATGCAGCAATTTTTAAAATGAAGAGTTTTTTTTTTTAAAAAAACTGGAACAATGTCTAAGAAACTTTTAAGCAAAAAAATAAGGATGCAAGACAATATCTACAGTGTACATCTACAGTCCCATTTGTATAAAGCAAGGATGAAATTTATTCACAAGTGTCATATGCATACTATTTTTATATTTAATTTATACATACACACACAGAACATCTCGTTGTTATTTGTTCACATGCAAAGGAAACCAGGGACAAAGATACAAGGACAAAGGAAACTGTTTTCACCATCTATCCTTATATTTTTAAATTATGTACAAAGTACAACTATTATCCATTCAAAAAATTAAATTTTAAATAATTTATAAGGTTATAGTTACATGCAGAGACTCTGTGGATAAGATCTGTGTTTACTCCCAGCTCTCCATTCACCAGTGTGTAACCTTAGGCAAGTTCTCCAAGTCCCAGTTTCCTCATCTGAAAAATGGGAGTAATGACAGTTACTGAGCAATAAATCAAATCAAGTATATAGCTGGCGCCGCAGCTCACTTAGCTAATCCTCCGCCTGCAGCACCCCGGGTTCTAGTCCCAGTTGGGGCGCCGGATTCTGTCCTGGTTGCTCCTCCAAAATGGCCAGGGCTGGTCCAAGCCAAAACCAGGAACCTGGAGCTTCATCCGGGTCTCCCATGTGGGCACAGGGGCACAAGCACTTGGGCCATGTTCTACTGCTTTCCCAAACCATTAGCAGGGAGCTAGATGGGAAGTGGAGCAGCTGGGTCTTGAACCGGCGCCAATATGGGATGCTGGCATTGCTGGTGGAGGCTTAACCTGCTACGCCACAACACTGGCCCTTATGCATGTGCTATTAAACATATGTAGAACCATACCTAGACATAGTAATTTCTCACTGAGTAACACAGAAAAATGCAAAGCACTGTGTAATAGTAACATCATCTTCATGTTATTTTATAGTCCACCAATGCAGGAGCTGTGAAGAAGTGAGTACCTACTCCAGTCCAGCTCTCTGCGGTGGCCCAGGAAGGCAGTGGAGGATGGTCCAGGTGCTTGGGTCCTGCACCCGCATGGGAGACCAGGAAGAAGCACCTGGCCCCTGGCTTCGGATTGGTGCAGCGCTCCGGCCATGGCAGCCATTTGGGGGTGAACCAATGGAAGGAAGACCTTTTCTCTCTGTCTCTCTCTCTCTCTCACTGTCTAACTCTGCCTGTCCAAAAAAAAAAAAATCAAGTATATAAAACAATTAGCACAATTATTACTTAATGCTCTTTTAAATGGTACTGCAGACTTGAAAAATCACACAGTTATGCCATTCCAATCCGTTTTAACCTTTCTTATTCTCAATGAACAAATTTTGCTAGTTTCTTAAGAAAATGTATGGCATTCTGCCACAGTTGTCCATTTTATAACCACTAGAGGTTGGATCTGACCCCAAAGAAGTAGCTAAAGAGTTTGAATTATATGAGGGAGGCAACTAGGAGCCACTGCACATTTGGTATAGGTTTTTATAACAAATCTAAACTTTGCCACTAAATGCAGATACAGCCACATAGTCTCCACCCTACTAAACATAATGCCACTTCGTATTTGTAGTCTTACTTTTACCATTTACAAGGGAATTTAAAACACTTCAGTTCAATTCCTGGAATAAGAATCTCAGAAGGAAGCCCCTTAAAGGATATTATAAATTTTTTCAGCAAGTATAAAGGAATCAGAGCATATATTTTATCCCTCTTTTATTAACATTTTAAATTTAATTTTAATCAACCTATTAAATATGAATCAAAGTGATTTTAAAATAGTGAAATAAATAAATGAAAGCCAAAGAACAGTGATTTGCCAAAAGCCACAGGCTTTAGGAGAAAACAAAAAATAGCTACCTAGAATTCACGTCTTCTCATCCACCTGCTCATTTCACTCACATCCTTATTGAGTAGCCATTCTTACCCGGAAATCATCGAACTTCCCTTACCTACAATGTTTTTCTCTCTCCTGCAGGGACCTTACTATGCAACTCAAGACCTGATTCACAAAAGCTGTCCTGGATTTGAGAACCACAAATCTCTCCTCTAAACTCCAGCTACTGGAGCCTGGGTTGTGGTGCATAAAGTTAGGCCACCAGCCTCAACCAGGTGGAGCACGTACTCGCGGTCCAGTCACTCCATTTCCAATCCAGCTCCCTGTTATCGTGCCAGGTAAAGCGGCAGGAGGTGGCCTGAATGCTTGGGTCCCTGCCACCCAAGTGGAAGACCCAGCTGGGGTTTCTGGCTCCTGACTTTGACCGATTGGGAATAAGCCAACAGATGGAAGATCTCTCATTCTCTCCCTCCCTATTTGTCATTCTATCTTTCAAATAAATAAAGAGATAAGATAAATAGGTAAATAGATAATAAATAAATAAATCTTATAAAAAATTAATAAGGTCCAGCTCCTCCACCCTGGGTTACCTGCTATCATCTGTTTCTATTTCATAGTGTATCATCTGCCCAGCTGTAAGCAATCTGAGAGCAAGCTGGCCTGGTGGAGAACTTGTAACTACCACCACCCACCCTCTTTCTCCCCACTCTGACCTTTGGAAGCTCAGACTTGCAGCCTCAGCCCAGCAGAGGCGTCTTCTGCCTCACTCACCCCTCCCTCTAAATTCCTCCATGGACACCTTGCCCTACCTCCCCACCAAGTTACATTTCTCATCTCCAACCTAACCTTAACCCAAACCTCCTCTCAGAAATCCTTAACTCAGCTCATTTCTTTAGAAATCTTTCTGCAACGAAGGTTCACATGCTGCCCAACTGTATTTACATCGCATGGCATTTCTGCAAATCTGCTCACGGATGCTCACGTGGGCCTGTCCTGTATTTCCATTCACTTTCCATGGCAAAGGTAAGGAGAGGAATGTTTTCTATTCTGAATTCATCTACCACCCACCCAAAACTATACTATTGCAGACAGTAAATATTTTCTTCAACAACTTCTTTTCTATATTCATTCTTCTCTTTTTCAAAAAATCCAACTCTTCATTCTCCTCTAAAAAGAGTGTCGTCTTCTCACATTTACATCAAAGAGATATACAAGTTCTGACTTTGAAAAACACAGTAATTCCAGGGGGGAAATTCTTCTTAAACTACTAACAAAAGTGTGGTGCTTTCAGTTTTACAAATGGACAGCTATACAAATGATTGCAATATTTCCTACAGTAATAAAAGCACTCATGCCACGTAGGTTATATAATGAAGGCTACCAAATCCATGTATCCAGGTTGAGATTTTCTCCTGAGCTTTCAGACCCATACCTAAAACTGCCTATTGAGCATTTATCTACAAGGATTGCCCACGAACACTTCAAATTCAATATTTTCAAGACAGTAATAATTATCTCACCTTGCTCCTCCACCCTCAACCCTTACCTTGTTCTTCCTTCCTCACTCCCTGGGTTCCCTATTTGAGTCAATACTCCCACATTCACTGTCTCAGTCAGCTTTGGCTGCTAAAAATTACCTTAGCTTAAGTGGCTTTACAACAAACACTTACTTCTTACTCCTGGAGTTTAGAAGTCTGAAATCAGAGTGATAAGTCAGTTCTTGGGGAGGGCCTTCTTCCTGGATTATAGACAGCTGTCTTCTTGCTGTGTCTTCAAGTGGAGAGCAGAAAGCGAGCCCACTGTCTGGCCTCTCACACTAACCCCACTCACACCAGCTCTACTCTCATCACCTAGTCACTTCTTAAAGGCCTCCCCTCCAAGTACCACCACACTGGCATTACAGCTTCAGCATATGAACTTGGAGGGACTCAATATTCAACCCACTACAGGCACTCAAGCAGCTATACCATAAATTTAACAGTCATTCCACCTTCCATCTCTCTCCCTAAATATGTACATTCTGATTCTATTTCTAAACATCTTTAAAACTAATCTGGGGCCAGCTCTGTGGCATAGTCAGTGTGGCCACTGCCTGTGGTGTCGGCATCCCATATTGGGTGCCAGTTCGAGTCCCAGCTGCTCCACTTCTGATCCAGCTCTCTGCTATGGCCTGAGAAAGCAGTGGAAGATGGTCCAAGTCCTTGGGCCTCTATATCCATGTGGGAGACCTGAAGAAGCTCCTGGCTCCTGGCTTCGGATCAGCATAGCTCCAGCCATTTTGGCCATCCAGGGAGTAAACCAGCGGATGGAAAACCTCTCTCTCTCTCTCTCTTCCTCTCTCTCTCTCTTTCTCTCTGTTGTTACAAAGAACCTCTCCTTCTTTGTAACTTTGCCTTTCAAATAAATAAGTCTTTAAAAAAACTAATATACTTCCCTTCAAAATGGAGACAATAGGAGAAGAGAGATTTGGAGAGGGGACTCAGGCAAATTCTTTCAACTTCCAAGATTGGAGGGTAGTAGTTAAGAAAACCGATTCCACCACCAAATCAGCATATTTCAAACCCAGATGAAGCATTTACTTTTTATTGACCTCAGGCATATTAATGTATGTAGCAGAGATAACACTGGTATCTATCTCATAGGATTGTTGTGAAATATAAATGAATTACCACATGTAAAGTGCTAAGAATAATGTGTGGCATACTTCATAGTATTCCATTTTCAACATAAATAAAATTTTGAAAAGTCTTTTGTCCTATAAAAATGTAATATCTAGAATTTAATGCAGAAAATAAAAATGTAGGACTACATGTCCAATTAATCTCAGCCTCCATCACACCTGAAATTTTAGACACATTATGCCCACGGCCATTTGCCCGGTCAATGATTCCAGTATCCCCTCTCTGGACTACAATACCAGCCTCAAGTTAACTAATCTCATTATCTTTAGCCCCTCCAGTATATTCTCCAAACTGCAACCAAAATGATCTTTGAAAATGATTTTCTAGCTACATCATTCCTCTACTTAAAAGCCATTCAATGTCTCCCTACTACTTTGAATGACAGTTTAAATTCCTTAACATGGCTCAGATACCCCAGTATGACGTGCATTATAGGGTCTCCAGCATGGTCTTTATCCCCTCTTTTCATTCTTAAAGCTATCAGTCCCTAAGTATTTCAGGGCCAGACTTAACACGTGCTACTTCCTCTGCTTGAAACACCTTGCCCCATCACTCTGCCTTTCAACTGGGTAGTTTTTACCGATCCTTCAAGTCTTAGCCTAGAAGTCACTTCATCCAAAGACACATCCAGTGGCCCCCAAGCCTGGATGAGGTACCTTCTCTATGTATCAAGCAGTACCCTGTATTTCCCTATCTCAACACTGTTCACACCTGCCTATTTTCAATATTCCCCAAGGGACTGTAAACTCCATGCAGGTAGAGACCACATCTTTCTTCCATTCCAATATTCAATACAATGCCTGCCACGTGGCAGGTGCTTCACTAAATACTTGCTGAGAAAATAACTGAATATCAAAAATATGGCTTCAAAGACTTGTGAACATTTTGCAAACATTGCGCACTGGATTTTTTAAAAAGATTTTATTGTTTATTAATTTGAAAGGCACAGTTACAGAGAAGGGTGGGGAGAGATAAAAAGAGAGGTCTTCCATCCACTGGTTCACTCCCTCAAAGAGCCACAATGGCCAGGGCTGGGCCAGGCTGAAGCCAGGAGTCAGGAGCTTCATCCTAGTCTCTGTGTGGGTGCCAGGGGCCCAAGCACCCTCCGCTGCTTTCCCAGGCCATTAGCAGGGAGCTGGATCTGAAGTGGAACAGTTGCAACTCGAACCAGCACACAAATGGGTGCCAGCATTACAGGCCATGGTGTAACCCACTGCACCACGATGCTGGCCCCAAGCATAGGATTTTTTAGTGAAAAATAAGCCAAGTAAATAGCACAACAATAAATACAGAAGCTGAAAGCTTTAGGAAGACACTCAGGATGCTGTAACTGTCAAGTGATCAGGTAAGAATTCTTCAAAAATGACCACATGGGCATCCCTGAAGACGCAAGTAGAGACAGTTCTTGTAATACAGAGGTAAGAAAGCAAGCATAATGACGGGTCTCTAGCCAAGCCTCCAGAAAGAAACCAACCAATCTATCACAGGAGATCTTTTAGATATGAGTCCAAAACACAGGCCTAAGTCTCCTGGTCAGCTATAAATTCTACCACACTGACCTGAAAAATCAGTGCCTGAAATTCATGTAGATTGAACATTAACAGAACAAAAATTTTTATTCTCAATTTACCTTTCTGTATTAACAGTAAATTCTTAACTCTCTTATTTGCCCCATCCCAATCCACAAAGTTAAGTTTCCCTATCCTCCATACTTTTCAGCATTTTATATACAGCTTTGCCTTTACGTTTGTGCACCTCCTCCATCAGATTCTCATGAACTCAAAGATATTATCACTAATTCATCACTGTATTTTTAGGGCTTTCACAGAGCATGTAGGCATTAAGCATTTGTGGAAAGGAGAAAAGGAGGGAGAGAAGAAGGGAAAGAATGAGAAAGAGCAATCTAATTTCACAATTAAGTCAAAAGGCAGCAGTCGATGGCCAGCATTGTGGCATAGCAGGTTAAGCTGCCACCTACAACAATGGCATCCCATATGGGCGCTGGTTCAAGTCCTGGCTGTTCCACTTCCAATCCAGTGCCATGCTAATGCACCTGGGAGAGCAGTGAAGGCCAGCCCAAGTCCTTGGGCCCCTGCACCCACACAGGAGACCCGGAGGAGGCTCTTGGCTCCTGGCTGCAGATGAGTGTAGCTCTGGCCATTGGGCCATTTGGGGAGTGAACCAGCAGATGGAAGACCTCTCTCTGTCTCTTCCTCTCTCTGCCCGTCAAATAAATAAAATAAATCTTAAAAAAGAATAAAGGTGGCTGACCTGCGGCTCACTAGGCTAATCCTCCACCTGCAGCGCCGGCACCCCGGGTTCTAGTCCCAGTTGGGGTGCCGGATTCTGTCCCGGATGCTCCTCTTCCAGTCCAGCTCTCTGCTGTGGCCCGGGAAGGCAGTGGAGGATGGCCCAAGTCTTTGGGCCCTGCACCCGCATGGGAGACCAGGAAGAAGCACCTGGCTCCTAGCTTCGGATCGATGCAGCACGCCGGCCGTAGTGGCCATTTGGGGAGTGAACCAACAGAAGGAAGACCTTTTTCTCTGTATCTCTCTCTCACTGTCTAATTCTGCCTGTCAAAAAAAAATAAAAAATAAAAAAGAATAAAGGCAACAGTCAGGAGAGGTAGAGAACTCCCATAGGCACAAGAAAAAGAAGCCTGAAAGAAGACAAATTGATGAAAATTAACATCTAGATGATTCAGTAAACTTTTTATGTTGATATAAATGAATTTATAACGGAAATGATGACCACCCAGCCTCATCTCACTAGTGCTCTACAAATAAGTTTATATAGCAAGAAGTTCTATAATTTTTTTCTTTTAATATATTCTGTACAGAAGCACAGAAACAATTAAAGTGGGAGGAGGGATGCGAAAGTAGGAAGAAGAAAAGGAAAAAATGACCATGCCTTGGCCAGGTGTCTAAGAAGCCACAATAACTCAAGTACTTCAAAAACAGTTGCTCCTTGGTCAATATTATGAATAATATTTTCAGAAAAATGCAGAAGGATATTCTATTAAAGGAAAAAAGAAAATGCTAGATATTCTCTACAGATAGTCATATTTTTACCTTGCAATTTTACTCTAAAATGTTCAGGAAATAGTCCTAAATTCATTTGTTCAGTATTTGTATCAAACATTCAAACATTTGAAAAACACAATTATCTCAACATTTTTTTTTTTTAACAGGCAGAGTGGACAGTGAGAGAGGGAGACAGAGAGAAAGGTCTTCCTTTGCCGTTGGTTCACCCTCCAATGGCCGCCGCGGCTGGCACGCTGCGGCCGGCGCACCGCGCTGATCCGATGGCAGGAGCCAGGAGCCAGGAGCTTTTCCTGGTCTCCCATGGGGTGCAGGGCCCAAGTACTTGGGCCATCCTCCACTGCACTCCCTGGCCACAGCAGAGAGCTGGCCTGGAAGAGGGGCAACCGGAACAGAATCCGGCGCCCCGACCGGGACTAGAACCCGGTGTGCCGGCGCCGCAAGGCGGAGGATTAGCCTAGTGAGCCGCGGCACCGGCCTAATTATCTCAACATTAAAAATAACTATTTGGGGCTGGTGCCATGGTGCAGTAGGTTAATCCTCCACCTGCGGCACCGGCATCACATATGGGTGCTGGTTCTAGTCCAGGCTGCTCCTCTTCCAATCCAGCTCTCTGCTGTGGCCTGGGAAAGCAGTAGAAGACGGCCCAAGTGCTTGGGCCCCTGTACCTGCTTGGGAGACCCAGAAGAAGCTCCTGGCTCCTGGCTTTGGATCGGCACAGCTCCGGTTGTTGCGGCCATTTGGGGAGTGAACCAACAGAAGGAAGACCTTTCTTTCTGTCTCTCCCTCTCACTGTCTGTAACTCTACCTCTCAAATAAATAAATAAAATCTTAAAAAATAAATAACTATTTACACTACGTAATATTCAGGCTGGAGTTAGACAAAAAGATTATCATGTGAAAGATGAAAATTAATTTTAGCAGAGACACAGAATCTGTTCATTCCCCAAGACTGCCAAGGATTTATCTTACTCTGCAACGAATGTGAAGACACTCCCCATGTTGTCTAGTTCTAATGGCTTGGGCTGCATAGGCACCTGGAAGAGAGATGTAATTTGCCTTTGTCACAAACGTTTTGGTGCTCTTTAAATAACAAGTATTAAATGATTATAAAAGTCCCATAAAACTTGTACCTTTGTTACCAAGGAAATTTCTCCCAGCATGATGATGACTTTCTTTTTCACAGAATCAGATCAACGTTTCAACAGCACCTGCACTGAACTTAGGTTCATCCCAGACAACAGATGTCTCTGTCGACTTGGGAAAAGAGGTCACAAACACTTAGACAGACGCTTACCACTTCAGAAGGGAGTCTCCTGAAAGAGAACTCTGCCCTGAAGGATGGGAGAAGATAAGTAACTTCCTCTATTTTATTAATTTATTGGCATGATAACTGGCATAACTGTAAAGGCATTTCATCTAGAATGAGCAAACTGTTTGGAAGCTAAATGCATTAAATCTTCTTTCATGGGACCTGTAAGTAGTTTTTCAAACTCTTAGTGCTTTGCACTTAATGTTTTATTTTAAAATCAAATTTAATCATTTCATAGAACCTGCAGTTCTTCAGGAAGATGGATTTCATTTTACCTCGGTGTCTATTACCTCAGGTCAGAACTGCAATGAATTTGAAACCACTAACACAGTACTCAACAATCCAATTAGTAAGTGACTCTGAAAACACAATTTCCCAAAATGACTATCATGCTCCTACTTCCTACTCTTACATATCTGAAACACTAATTGAATGTCCATACTATTTTATTTATTGATCTTTTTCAAATAATTTTGTAATGAGCCAACAGTGTTCAATTCCCTCTTCCACAAAGGCTCTCTTTTGGAGAGAGAGGCACTCTACGTTAAGAACTTAACAGAGCTTCATTCTTCAAAAACTCAATCTGATAAGAAAATATTTTCTTATGATACTCAGTTATCTCTATGGCACATGGCTTGATATCATTTTATAATAATAGGAACACAAAACAAAACTAAAAAAGTGTAATTATACAAATGTGCATATGTATATAAATATATATGAGTTCATGATACATAAGCACGTCTACTTTGTTAATTATCTAAAATTAAAATTTACCATTAGACAGCTTCACTCAACCACATCACGGCCCACTCAGGAACATAAAACCAAGCATACAAATCACTGAAGTAAAACCCAGAGTGGAAAAGCAGCCACATGACAGCACCAGTGGCCAGGCAAGCACAGAATCTAGGAACTGGGAAGAGTACCTGAATGGAATTTCTCTCAAAGATCTGATGGGCACGGAGAGGAACACTGTTTAAAGTTTTCCAGGGACACAAACCACTTCCTTACTTCCCAAGGTGTCACTGAACACCTACAACAGCATTTCCTACTCACAATGAACCAAAATTATCTCCTTCAAAACCTTCCTACAAGGCATGCCCATTTGTATCCTTCTTACAGTTAAGCCTAGTTCTTCTTTAACAGATCTCAGCCGTCTGAGTATGAAGAAAATGAGTATACGTGCACTTGGTCATATTTCCCAAGACTAATCATCGTTCTACATTCCGAACACCCTTAGCTACCCCTCATATCATCTGAAGACCTTCACAATCCCAGTCCCTTTACCCTCTTAATGGAATTCAGTTTGTCAATATCACTGCTGAAAAACAGCATCGAAGACTAAAAGTCAAATACCATAAATTACCACCAACATTTACTGATATATGGGAAAGGACCAAATTGAAGAACTTTGCCTCCTAGGGAGCAAGTCTTGACCTGTATCATGAAAATAAACAGATAAGCAGAAAATATAAATCAATGCTATCCAAAGACAAGGATAAGGAAAACAGGGGGAAGGTAGCAAAAAATAGTATCATCAAGGTATTCATTTTGAAAGAAGTTAACTATCCTATATGCTAATGCACAACCCAGATCATTTGAGATAATGGTCATCTAATTTAATATGATCAAAACTTCCTAAATTTTCAGTAAGCATAGTCATAAATAGAGTAGTCATAGCCTTTAAAATAAGTTACTTTTAATCTCATCTAAAGAATCAGATGACATAAGAAATACTAAATGTAATTAAGACTTTAGCTTCCCGGGAGATTAGAGCAATCAGACATTTTAAGCATCATAGGAATGAAACATTTGATACAATTAAAGAAATCCTATTAAAAAATTAGTCTGTAAAACAGAGATAATATGGGACTAAGGAATAGCTTATTAATAAGTCATTCAGTTCTGAGTGTAATAAATACAGCTATTACAATTTCAATTCACTGGTGGCTGAGCTCAAAAAGCTAAAATCCTGCCACTCAATCTACACCAAGAATCCAGATCTAATCAGTAAAATCATTGCCTCTTATGTTAAATGAATCAGAATGATTTTTGGTTGAAAGGAATTTAGATGGAAAAAAAAAAAAAAAAACCACAGAGAAAACCTAGGAAGTGGCAGGTCTAGAATTTAAGGCCAAAACCTGGGACTCTGTCCACTATATCTGAACAATCCTTCAAGTATTTGAAACAGCTGTGGTACCCTCCCTTCTGACCTCTAAACAACCTTTTCAAAGCCAGCTCCTTCAAGATTCAAAATGTTGGGAAGATTCCAGAACAAAGTCCTACATAAGTGACCTTTGGAACTTCAGACATATTCTTTCATGTCTGAAAGGACAGCTTAAGCCATGCCCTGAGGGGACAAATAACCAGGATACACGGAGGACGGCTGTCCCCAACAAGACTAACATTCCTGAGCCGCGGGACCACTCCTCAACCCTCAGCTACTCCAAATGAGGCCCTGCAAGAGAAACCATCAAAGTGCATCACCAAGAGGGAGTTCTCCCTGAGTAAGAATCATAGCCCCAAAGTAAATGGGAAAGTAACCGGAGAGAGTGCTGGTAAAAGTGGCCGCCTGCTACAAAAAGAGAATCAGGAAAGCAACAGCCCACAACAGATGCCTGGGGAAAACAGAAAATGCTGAAGACAAGAGTTCCCTGGGAGCTGGGGACAGATCTCCAGAGGGCTTAGGGTACAGGTACACACCATGAAGTAGGTCAGTGCTCTGAAAGGCCGTGTATTTGGGTGGGTGGGGTGCACATGCGCTGTGAGATCCTGTAGGCCATGAATCACCTGGTTCACCTTGACAGAGAGAAGGACTGAGACTGAACACACAGGCTAGATCCAACATCCCCTCCCCCTGCTGACTGTAGCCAGAGGTGCAACACCAAACCCATCTTGGGCATCACTGCAGACTTATGCCCAAACCCATAGATGGTGGCCAGAGCTCCCTGTCCCCACCCAGCACACCCCCCTGGAACTCCAGCACAAGTCTCAGGTACTCCACTGAGCCAGAAAGTCACATTTCTAAAAATAAAGCCTTCAGGACCAGCACTGTGACAAAGCGGGTGAAGTCGCCGCCTGCAGTGCCAGCATCGCAAATGGACACCGGTTCGAGTCCCAGCTGCTCCACTTCTGATCCAGCTCTCTGCTTGGGCTGGGAAAGCAGCAGAAGATGGCCCAGGTCCTTGGGCCCCTGCACCTGTGTGGGAGACCTAGAAAAAGCTCCTGGCTCCTGGCTTCGGAGAGGCACAGCTCTGGCCATTGCAGCCATTTGAGGAGTGAACCAGTGGATGGAAGATTTTTTTTTCTCTCTCTCTCTTTCTCTCTCTGCAACTTTGCCTTTCAAATAAATAAATCAATCTTTAAAAATTAAAAGACACATGAACAAGGAAGGCAATATGACTTTTTAAAACGAGCACAATAATACATGCATATTGGACTGTGAAGAAAGGGAGACTGACGAAATGCCTGAAAAGGAATTCAAAGAATGTCAAGTTACTCAAGAACACAGAGAAACAGCTACAGGAAATAAAGAAATCTGTATAGCCCTGGATGAGAAATTCTGCAGAGATAGACATACTGAAGAAAAATAAGGCAGATACATAGAAATGAACTGTTCATAAGTCAAAATAAAAACTACATTCAAAAGCCTTAAAAACAGACTTGTGAGGCAGAAGAAAACGTATCAGATTTAAAAGGCAAGACTTTTGAAATTTCTCAGACCAAAAAAAAAAAAAAAGAAGAAAAAATTAAGAAGGTGTTTGGAATCTATGGGATACCATTAAATGACCAAATATATGAGTCTTAGGAATTTCTGAAGGTATGGAGGAAAAAGAGTGGCTTAGAAAACTTATTCAGTGAAATAACAGCAGAAAATGTCCCCAGTCTGTAGAAGGATATGAACATTCAAATACAGGAAGCACAGAGAACTCCAAATAGGCATGGCCAGAAAAGATCCTCAGCACACACATTATAAACTTTCAAAACTGAAACATAATTAATGCTATAACTAGTACTCAAACAGTATTTTACACTTTGTGTTTCTGTGTGGGTGCAAACTGTTGAAATCTTTACTTAATATATGCTAAACTGATCTTCTGTATATAAAGATAATTGAAAATGAATCTTGATGTGAATGGGAGGGGAGAGGGAGTGGGAGAGGGGAGTGTTGTGGGTGGGAGAGAAGTTATGGGGGGGAAGCTATTGTAATCCATAAGCTGTACTTTGGAAATTTATGTTCATTAAATAAAATAAAATATAAAAAAAAAGTGAAACATAAAGAAAATATCCTAAAATATCCAAGACAGAAACACCAGATCACCTTTAAGGGGGCTCCCATCAGATTAACAGCAGATTTCCCAACAGAAACTCTATCTCACTTTAAAAGGATAAATTTTATGGTACGAAAATTTTATCTCAGTAAAAAAGTGAGGTACAACTATAAAAAGCAGTTAAGTGTGCACATTATAATCTAAGAGATATGGCTGAAAAGCAACTCAGAAAATAACTGGAAGATCACTGCTGACATCGGTGCTTACTTTCACAACAAATATGAAAAACATTGTCTTACTGCCATAAACTGAACACCAAAATAATGAACACTCAGAAGAAAATTACATTTCCACATAAAATATCCAAGAATAAATATCTGCCTTCTTCCCAGTATTTTAGCTGATTAGTAGTTGAGCTCCCTAGAGCAGATAAAAAATTTGAAAGAATCCA